AGCCAGAGGAAGGTCTTCTAGTTCTTGTATTGCATAAACGTTCCAGTCCGCAGACGTATATTTAACTCTTCTTCATACTAATACGAATAGGATAAAACCTTCCAACGCTGTGCTGGTCGGAGTGGGGGGTGTTAGGTTTATTTTGGTTACGGAATTTCTTGATTCGGTCGCCGCGCTCAAAGCCCGCGATAAAAGCTATGCAATAGCTTAAAAAATACATACAAATCGCTGGAAAATGGGAAACCTTGCTTATGCCTATTTATAGATTTAAGTACGGATTTTGACACGGTAAGTCATCCGTTGTTAATCCAAACCCTAGAAGATGTGGGGATCAGGGGAAACGTTCTAATTCTTTTTAAAAATTATCTATGCACAAGAAACCAAGTGTTAAGAGTAGGGGATAACATAAGTGAAGAGGCATCTATTGAATATGGTGTACCACAGGGCACAGTCCTAGGGCTTATTTTATTCAATCTGTATGTGAATGAGATGTTTCACTTAGATACAACTGGTGAAATCATAGGATACGCAGATGATACTGCCATTTTTTATGAAGCAGACATTTGGCAACAACTCAAAGCAAAGGTAGACAGAGACATTAAGGCAATAAAAAAATGGTTCGACCATAAGCTCTTAACAATGAATTTAAATAAAACCAAATTTTTACCTTTTAGTTGTAACGCCAGCGGAGTAACATACTTTCAACAAATTAACATTGAAATTAATGGAAACAATTTTGGCATTAAATCGGTTGTCGAAATGAAATACTTGGGGATATATTTGGATTGTCACTTAAGGCCGGCGATCGCCCATGTTAATTTCCCGTATATGCAGAGGTTACTTTTGACGAAGCTTTCGGGAAAAGTATACTTCGTAGCATTAATTTAAATATAGAAATCAGTTCATGAATAATGCCTACGGGTTGTAAAGAAATCCAAAGCAGAGTTTTTTAAAAATACTCGAAAACTGACTTTGATCCTTGGTGTCAAAATCATATAGAAACCCTCGACTTGTCGACGTATTTACTTTAAAAATAAACATATTTAGACGTTTTCTTTTCATTACCACCCGTACAACTGGCATATCAAATAAATGAAACAAATCGCATATCAAAATAATGTTTGGTTTTCCTGAAAGCTTGGTTTGAAATAAAAGCTAATTATTAATTCACCTAATCGGCTAGGGACAACGCAGATGAAAGATGATATACGCCGTATCCAAAGCTTGTAGGATTCTATACTGTAAGAACTTCAAGGTAATTTCACAGATGCCGCTTTAGAACATTAGTCGTTGTTAGTCATTTGCATGACCGTTGTTCTTGAGGCAGACAGGGCCGGAACAAATACAATTTTAATACCAGCGTTTTTGTATTTAATTAATTAAATAATTCGATATATTATTAACAAATGTGGTTGTTGCCCTTAAAAAGTATTTTTATTTCCTAATGAAATTTAATCCACTGCCATTTTTTGTAATTATTGGTTTTAATTTTAAAAATAAATACATACTCTAACTTTATAATACTGTTTACCAATGTTTAATATTTTTTAGGCTAAATTTATGTAATATGTTTTTTTTTTAATTTTGATTTTGTTTTCTCTAAAAAAACAAACATCTTTATAGAGATGTCTATTTGACATTTTTAAAAATTAGCTTCACGGAATTCATTTTTAACATTTATACATACCTACATATTTTTCTTGCACTCAAATTAAAAATGGCCTTGTAAGGTAATACCTTATATACAGGGTGGGCCACTGATAACGCCTTGGTCTGTAGAGCCACAACCATGTGATTTTTTAAAATTTGTTTTCACAGTGAGATGTATGTCCCAAAAACCAACAATTTAAAAATAATTTCAATTATACAGGGTTCTTCAAGAATGTGATACATATCAAAGTTAGGTTTTTTAAATGGGATACTTTATTTTATATTTGAATTGCCCTCGCTTTTTCGATTATAACAATTAAATAGTATGAGATTATACAGAGTATACGCTAATACCAATTTTACATGAAAATCGTATTGACCTCAATGGCCTGTATACTGCAAAAGAAACAATTGAAAACCAATCATTTGTGGTAAAAGATTTTCGATATTAGTCAAATACCTACATACTTTTCTCATTTTGTTTAATTGAATTTTATATCACCAGCAACTTTTATTTGCCGAATTTTTTCTTCAAGCGTAAATAACATATATATTCCTTAAAGTAGAAAAACGACTTTCTATAAAGTTCCGAATATGCCCAAAATCTAATCAACTCATTAGAGACACACAAACACCTACATATACGTATGGCCATATTTGTGACATTCATGCATGAGAGATATTTTTGGCATCAAGGTAGTTTTTATATAAAATACAATTTAATGTACGCTTATTAACCCTCCAACTAGTGGGATAAACATGTTAATCAGGTAGTAAAAAAACTGCAGCAAATTATTTACACTTTTAAACATCTAAAAAAGTTTTTACCTATTAAATATCTAAAACAACTTTATCTCGCTCTTGTTGACAGGCCCGACTAAAGGGGGAGGGGGCAGCCGCGACTAATTCCCGAGGCCCGGGCTCAAACGGGGGCCCGGCAACGGTATAAGGGGAGCCCGGCAGCAGTGGTGTTGTTACTTTGAGAAGTTCGACAGAAGAGGGGGGGGGGGGGGAGTTCTTACGTGAAGACTTTTTTTAGAGAGATTCGAGCAGGGGTGGAGAAATTTTAACTTGAATACTTTTTTTTTAGAAAACTTTAAGGTAGGGGAGGAGAATTTTTTTGTCGCGGGGCTAGATCAGAATTGTCGTGGGGCCCGGTCTGGCTCTCGGCGGCCCTGCTTGTTGAAAGCCATCTTAGGTATGGAAATCCGATATGGGGTGCAGCTGTACGTACCTATATAAATACCCTTGAAACTATCCAAAAACGAATTATAAAAATAATCATGTCAAAACCCTCTAGGTATCCGACTGATGAATTGTATAAAATATCGGATATAACCCAGACAGCACACCAAATCCTTTGGATATCTACTGAACATCCCAATATCCACTGAATGTCCAGTCCATGGTGGATATCTATTTTATATCCATGAAATGTAATTTATAGACATGCAAATGTCCATAAATAATTGTAATTATATAGCAAATTATTAAAAAATTACGCCATTGTACTCGCCATTGTGGCTAATAGTACCGTTGAGATATTTAAAATTAATTTTTTTTAAGGTGTATTCAATATCCCATGGACATCCACTATAAATATAAATATATCAAAGTCTAAGCGCGGACGCAAACCATCGTGGATATCTACTAGATGTAATTTTTGATTTTGCTTCCTAAGTATAGATGGCGATACCACTTTCGTATCTACTCATGCTTAACCCGCCGTAATTGAGTTTGATCGACATTGTTTCAAAAACAGACTTCATTAGAGACTGAAGTCGAGAAGTTCCATTTATTGCTGAAGATTCCTAATAAGGATGATTTTCTCCTTAGTACGCAAAATCAAAGGCAGATTGTTGGGAATATTTTTTACCTCTATTTTCTTTTGACGTTATTCAATAACCATTGGTTACTTATGAACCTCTACTAAAAATAATTATAAAATATTTATCTGAATTTCTATATCCTGGGATATAGACGGACATTTGGTTGGATATCCACAAAATATATTCAATGGATATATCTGGGATTTCTTGTATTGTCTGGAGATACTCATTAGATATTTTGCTGAATATCCATAGGATATCTTCTATATTCTGGATATAGACGGACATTTGGATATCCATATTAGTTCCACGGAATATTTCTGATATCCTGTGGATATCCACAAAATATATTCTGTGGATACCTCTGGGATTTGGTGTGCTGTCTGGGAATGGATTTGAGACAATTGTTCTATTACAATACATGCATTAAATACCATTCTAGTGATGATAAAGCACCCTCATCCAGATCATCAGTACTACACCAGGCATCGAGAATTACTTACACACCCATTGGTAAAGAAATCATTCTCACAAAGCCTATTTATACATTGCCACTAAAATGAACAATACTATCCCTAAAACTACCAAAATGATACAAAACATAAGGACATAAGAACATTTTTACAAAATACTCAAAGATCCTTTTTTAATGCCTTAATAGATGAACTAAATAAATAATTTTAATTGAATCCATTTTTAGCACTATTTTACCAAATATATATTATATTTTATTCTTTATTGTATACTTATTCTAGTTATTAGTGTAAATTTTAAATTGTAAATCTAATTTTAGCTATTATTTTTTATTTTTATTAATTACTAATATTTTTAAATTTAAATCATATTTTCTATTATCGAAACAAGTACATCAGTACTTATCGATACTCGATACAACTTTATTTATATTTTGTATACACATATTTTCTTTTTTCTTTATTTTATTGTACTCATTTATAAATAAAGTTTCTATTATTATAGCGTTTCATGTAAATTTATTTCTTCTATAATTTAATTCTTTTATTTTTTGGTATATTAGTTGTATCCTACTTTCACATAAAGATTATTATTATTAAGGTACATTTTTGTTAATTATCCATAAAGAAGAAAATGCTTTCAATAGTTATTTATGATATCATTCTCTATATTTTTTGTCCCATACATGATTTCTCTAAAACATACCACAGTGGAGAAATTTGAGAAAGTGTAAATTGACTTTTTTGTATTTTTATTGCCAAGGGAAAAATGGTTATCTTTAATCAAACAATACAAAACAGATATTTGTTTATATACCTACAAAATACAGTTTTTTTTCTAGCTGCTAATACTTTTTTAGTTGCAATGAGAATTCCAGCCTCCTTATCCTAACATAGTGACTACATTTACTCATACAGCAATAATGTTTATTAGTTTTAAAAGTAATAAAAGAAAGAATTCAACTAAACACCAACAAATGTTTTATTATTATTATTTAGATCTTAAAAATTATTCAAAAAGTGACTAGTTCAATTCCTAATCATATACTTAATCACCCAACCTCAGCAAACTCTTTACATGATATAAACTTAAAAATATAATATTATTTTCTTCTTGATCTACAAGTGGATACCCCCAAAACTGGTCTTCAATTTCAGCAACAGCCTTTAGAATAGTGCTGTTATATTGTGTCTTTGGTGTAGAAAATCTTATGATATCTGTCTGGTCATTTCTTGGTACATTCTCATTCGATTGGTAGGTAACTGCAGGTGTTGGAATAATGTATATGTCTTTGTATTTTTTATCTTTATTAGGATCCACCCTTTTCTCCGAACCACCGGATTGGGGGGGTGCAGGGGTTGTTTTCGGTGATACAACAGGATTTGAAACACCTAATTTAGTTTCTGAAATAAAAAAAAATAAGTTCAATCCAGTGGAAAATGGGAAAACTAAAAAAGAAACTTACCGAGCCCATATAATTTCCTAGTAAGTTCTCTAAGTTGTGCACTCTGTTCTTCAGTTTGTATAAATAATTCTCTTATGGTAGTTTGCAGATCTCTCATTTCTTGTAATTTAGCTTCTTCCTTTGCAGCTTCCTTGTTAGCAGATCTAAAAATAAGGAAATATTTTATAGCATGCCAATAAAAAACTGTTTACACAAATAGTGTGTTCATTAATTACCGATTGTATTCAGCGATAAGTATACCGGCAGCTATAATAAAAATTATCCCTTCACCAAGTAAATTTGCTCCTAGTTCGATTGCCATAGCCTCATTTAAAACGGGGATATTGACAGGTTTGCCCAAATTCAAAATCCACATTTTGGCTTTTATCTCACACCAGTTATAAACTAAAAATACCATCAGCTTTAACCTATCATTAAACAAACACATTTCAAATATACGTACATTGGGCTGGAGGCATGCAAACATATTTTCTAAACACTGGTGAACTTTTCGCCTGTCTTTTGACAGCATTTGCTATGGGTTTACTTATTTGTTTCAGTAATAGAGCTCCGAGTTTTGCTGCTGGAAAAGCACCTACAACCATTTTATACCATAAAAAACATTAAATTAAATATATTTCATAACTAGGTGACAGTAAGTGTCAACATTTTAGGTTATGTGTTATGTCACTTACTGTGTACGAGACTAGAGAATGGCCGATTAGGAGCATCAACCATTGTGCAGCGTTGTCAAATATTAAACTTTCAGTAAAAATTCCGAGTTTAACTATTTTTTTTAGTAAACTTCGGCATTAAGTTGAATTAGATAGGTATAGCAGTCAGTACTGGTAAAACAACCATGCTTCACTTGACTGGCGTTTGTATCCCTTTATTACATTACAAGTCGGTCATATCCAAATTGAACAGTGTTTCCAAGATCGAAGCAATAACTTAACAAGAAACAATAAATTGCCGTTGATATTATTTGTTTCCTGCTCAACTAATGTTAACTCTCTGAGCAAAGCATATTGGAAAGAGTGCAATAGCCGATTCTGTATGTTGGGCTTTTAATTATAATGGGTCAAAAATGTCAATCATTACAATTGGAGGGTAATATAATTAATGGGCCATTTATACATGAAATGTTGGTTGAGATTGGTGTACCTATAGTAAATAATAGCCTACTACTATATATTACAGTCTGTTCGCTATACTTATGCGGGTTTCGGATTAATAAAATTATACAAATTAGTCATTGACAAGAAATTAGGTAAAATTGCCCTAATGGTCAGATTTAAATTAAAATAACATTAGGGTAAATTTGTTACAAATATTGCAGTTGAATTGATTCTTTGCAAGTGTTGACATTGTATGTATATTGTAAATTTAGTGGAAATTTTAAAAATGCCTAGAGGTGTGTTAGATGTAGATAGTCTAATTTGTAGTGTACATAAGTATTTTACGAATGAATTAGAAAATGGCGGTCCTTTAAAATCGGTAATGTATGTACAACAACGTGTATGCGATGCTCTAGGAATTAGTGAAACCAAATTAAGAGGAGTATTACAAAATCACAATAGTGAACTGCCGAAAGAAGATCACCGCAAAACTCGCCCATCATTGAAAACGAAAGATATTCCAGATGGAAAGAAATTTGAAATTCGTGATACCATTTATCGAATGAGGGCCAACAAGGAACATGTGACCTTAAATACAATTCTCTCGGCATTAATAGATAGAAAATTTGACGACATTGGCAGAACAAGTCTATGGCAAGTGATACATAACTTGGGTTTCAAATTTCAAAAGGAGGATAACAGAAAGGCCCTTTGTGAAAGAAGTTCTGTCGTGCACAAGAGAATTAACTTTCTAAGAAAATATTCTAAATTTAAAGAAGAAGGGACGAAGTCCATCAAACATACCGATGGAAAGGGAAGCGACACATAATTTTACATGCAGGACTGATTTTTACATAATGACTGATTTTCATTTTTGTTGGCAAGTTCAATTTTTTTATTTTTCATTATAAATTCTCTACATGACACAAATTTTTATGTTAGAAAATATTTTATTTGAGCTAAATAACCCTCTTATTATACATAGACCATATTTTCTGTGTGAAGTGTAATATAAAATTATTATTAGGTTTATAATAGCCACATTAGACTCAATTAATGAAGAAGTTTAATTCTGCTCTCAATTATACAAAAGATTCTCCATTATTAAAAAGTTTTATATTATTTTTCATTTCATTTAACCAGTTGATATTTCACCAAAGAACAGGTCAAACTTTCGGGTACTTACCTGGAAATACTCATAAAATTTTTAATTCGAAACCCGCGTAAGTATAGCGAACAGACTATGGGTCCTATGATTGAACGTTTACGTTATCCGTAACGTACATGTTAGGCCGAGTTTTAACAGCAAAGAGACAAATTAGTATGATGTAAAGTCTTTCATAACACATTATTGTTATTTTCCGCCTGTTATGTTCTAATTTAACAGGTTTCCATCATACGAACTCGCCTCGTTACTTTTAAAATTCGGCCTAACATGTACGTTACGGATAACGTAAACGTTCAATCATAGGACCCTATGGGTCCTATGATTGAACGTTTATGTTATCCATAACGTACATGTTAAGTCGAATTTTAACAGTAATGAAGCAAGTTTGTATGATGGAAAACTGTTAAATTAGAACATAACAGGCGGAAAATAACAGTAATGTGTTGGAAACCGTTTTTCATCATACGAACTTGCCTAATTACTGTTAAAACTGAGCCTAACATGTACGTTACGGATAACGTAAACGTTCAATCATAGGACCCTATATCTACTAAGCACCTATTAAGTATAAGTACGCTACCGATGATTTAGTTTTGAAAATTTCCATTATTATTCAATGTTTTGCACAATCTGGCAACGTTACAGCATTTCGTAATAGTTCGTGAAATTTCGACACTCTCTCTGATCAGTGTCTAGAATCTACAATTAAGATGACAAGTGACATTTCTTCTTTATATTCATATTCTGGTCACTTTCCTGTTTAGAATATAAACATTGATTCTTCTTTTTATATTTATTTTGTGGTTCTTTCTCAAGCTAACTTATTTTTTAAATTTGTTTCTAGATATAAAAACAATTTCATACATTAATAGAGATTAATTTATATTTTATAAACTATAAATATTAAGTTATGTAGCTATTTAACAACTATCAACATGGGAAATATGTTCAAAATATTGTAGGTTTTGCTGTCAAAAATGCGTCAAAACCTCAAATTCAGGAAATATAAAAGCTAAATTTGGATGTTATCTTAATGAACGAAATTACTGTAATAAACTTATCAACCATTTATGTAAGATAAACGTGTTAACATTTAAAATCCTTATCAATACTTCGCCGATGCCTTTTACCAATCACTTACACCAGTATCAAAATGGAGACCAAGCCTATGTTGACGAAAGAATGCGAATTTCAAAAATTGCAAGAATATTACAACCGGGTTGGCAAAAAACTCAACATCTATGAGTTGTTCGCCAAAGATTGTGGGAGATTTGATAATTTCAGGTAAGTCTGCAATTCAATATGTTCGGTAAACCATAAAAGGCTTTGACCGTGTTCATTGACCTTAAATCGACCTTTTTAAATGATTTTGTACATTCAAATAACATTCTTGGTTTCTATTTGAGTTACTAGGGATTCTGTTTATCGATTTTTTATTCTAAATAGTCTAAATGATAATTAGAAATTATGAATTGTTATGCAATTAGTTATATCTTTATTATATTCCTGTTTTCCCATAAAATACCTGTTAAAACAGTATTTAATTAAAAACGTATAGGTATTATAATTTGTTCTTTGAGAATTGTCTAAAAATGCAGCTAATAATTTCAAAATTTTTATTGTAAAGTTGATAAGTCGCATCTATTTGGAATCCTTTTAAACAATACCACGAAATAATGTAATATTTGTAATTATAGAAAAACTATTATTGTTTCAGTATATTACAATTTATTTGCTATGAATTCTCTAAATGCAGCTAATAATTTCAACATCTTTATTGCCAAAGTTGCTTCAATTTTAAATGTTTTAAACATTAATATCACAAACTATGTACCTACCTAATATTTATAATGAGGAAACTATTCACCATTGTTCTAGTGTTTAAATGTAAATTTACAGCAGTTTTTTTGCTAATTTGTAATTTAATATAATATTGGAGGACATATTGTAATTATGTGTAATAATATCCATTGTCTAACAATTTGATTTTATATTTAAAAAAAAAAATACCTAATAAAAATAACTTTGATTTAAATCAGATTAATTTTGAAGATTTACATTAAAAACTAATCTATATTTTATCTTTACTTCAACAGAGTACTGTCTTCTATAGCTAAAATTATAAGCAATTGGTTTGTCAAACTGTTATTAATTAAATCTCTTAGGCGATTTAATGCTTTTACTATAAAATTTCAAGAGTTTAAACAAGGTTGATTTTATTAATTAAATACTTAATGTATGGTAAAAGATCAATGATGTTTGAGTAGGTAATTTTTCAAATCTATTTAGAGGTTTAATAAACATACACTTTATTACTAAGCCATATAAAACTCTGGATTCTATCACAAACAACGGCAAACTTTTTGAAATGTTTATAATAATACCATTTGTGATACCTACCATACATGTGTTTACATGTTATAGGGATTACACATCCCAAATCTGAATAAATTATGTTGAAAAGGTATAAAATCATTTTTGAAGATTTTATATAAAGCTTCTATTTTGGTTTTAGATACTTAATTTTGTTTAATATCTTCAAAAAAAAGAGTACTACTAGGTACAATTGTCCCATTAAATCTTTTAACTCCAAATGACCCTTTTAGCATTCTTTTTTCTGATTAGTGACAGTTCAACTATAGTGACCACATTTATTTTACAACACAAGTGCAACATTGATTAAAGGACCTTCTTTTTAGCTTCCCAAAAATATTTTATACAATAATGCCGTTTTGCTGGGTAATAACATCATTTTGCTGTATATTTGGTGTATGAGATATCCACAGCATAAAGATGAACCAGCAGGTACACTCCTCATAAAAATAGAAGTGTACTGACAGCATCGTAAGCAAGCAATTCACCATATTCTCAGGATGCTCAACGTCAGTTGTGTAGCATCTTTCTTACAGAACAAAATCAGTGCATATGCATCAAAATTATGATTGAAGTGGATGAAACCTCACAAAGATCAAAAGATTTCTTATCGAGTGTGTCTCTTTATGATGTATGTAGGTCACCCTCAGTTCAACACGTTTAAATTACAGTTAAAAGCACCCTAAAAACACCGCTTCTAGCCTGTTCCAGCTCCTAACTATCCAAACTCACCTTATATATTTATAAACTATTATTTTTCATTACATATGACTTTTTGGTTAAGTGGTTGTGGATCTTCAAATACTAGTTCCTCTTTTATTTTACCTTGTGATTAGTAGTGTTTATATTTTAATTATTTTCACCATCTGATCTATTTGTAATGTTTTTATTATTTCCTTTCACTGTATTTGCATGATACATCTTATAGCAATTTCGTTACCGCCTTTCTTCTAATAAATTTCTGAATAATGTTTTATACTGTTAAATCGTTTTGATTTAATAAACTACAGAAAAGATCAAAATAGATTATTTTTTTGTGTATGGCGGGAACGTACCGGAAAAATGACATGAGTTGTGGCATATGACATTTGTAATTTTGACATTGGTTTTAAAAAGAAGAATGTATTGATGGCCTTTGATCTTGTAGCACAGAGTGGTAAATAGTACAATCCAATTTTAGATTTTTTGGCATAATCCCAAATACCGAGTAAAAATTATTGTGTATATGCCATTTTTTTCAAATGATTTTACTCGAACTTACAATTTAAAAATAAAAGAAAATGAGAAAAACACAAAGACTCTGTCACAGAAACGTTGAGCAACTGTTGTTTCCCTCCAGAAAACATTTACTCCTAAATAGGGTTACTAGACGTCAGGAAAAGTCCGGACATGTGCGGAATTTCGGCGTTTTAGAAAATGCTAAAGTCATATTTCATTAAATAATTGACATAAAGCCGTCATGGCTCAGGTCGTTAAGTGCTCAACTTTGATTTTCGCCGACCCGAAATTGAAAATCCCGTTGAAATCAATCTTATTTTGGAAAAAATAAAACTTAAAATATGATAAACAATTTTAGAGTATTCTACTTACTTCTTTTGTTTTTCTTGAGCTGATTTTCTGAGTAAGCTTTTTTCCTGACTTGTAGACAAATTTACAAATCTGCTCAAATTTTTATAATAATTCTGACTAACTACAATTTTATTTTGGTTAAATTTAGTAAATGCTTTTATTTTCTTGTCTCAATTAATAAGTATTTTATGTTGTCTGTAATCCAGGGATTTATTTATAAATAAATACCCTAAAATTTTTACTCGTTTTTTCTGAGTTCCCAAGTCAGAAAAAACTTGTTAGGAAAATCGTCGAGACAGGTCGATTTTTGATTTCTACAATGTACATTTTTGTATGAATAGTTTACCCTTAATTTCATCCCTTACTGGAGGGGAGCAACCCTTTCGAAAAATTTAAATGGCATGGGGTGGTGAGTGATAGCTCATTTGAAAGAGGGTTTTATTCTGTATTCAACCGTGTAAAAAAATTTGAAATTTGCTTCATTAATTCTCGACTAATTGTTGTTTCAGAATAACGGAAATTAACGTAGCGCACTCATCCTTAGAATTAAAATTCGGACCTGCGCATGACTTCGGTTTTGGTTCAGACGTGAAGTAAGACTTTTTGCCATTAGAAGGTCACTGTTAGTCTAGTTGCTTTCCTATTTTGTGAGGTTTTGTTATTTTTAAACATTAATAAATCAACATGTAATGATGCATATTTCAAAATTTTTTTGCACGGTTGAATAGAGAATAAAACCCCCTTTCAAATGAGCTATCACTCACCACCCCATGCCATTTAAATTTTTCGAAAGGGTTTTTACCCTCCAGTAAGGGATGAAATTAAGGGTTAACTAATCATGCAAAAATGTACATTGTAGAAATTAAAAATCGACCTGTCTCGGCGATTTTCCTAACAAGACCCCAGTAACGAGTTAGTTAGGGGGGTAAGACTTAAGATGCTCACTGTATACAATAATAATTGTATTTTAAAATGTTCTTATACTAAAAATACATACAATTTACACGATAAGATAGCAAGTAAGAAATAAAATTTAAAAGGGAATTTTAATAGTACGGAAGGTATGTGCGAAAATAATTAAAAGAATTAAGATTTACTTGTTGGTAGATCCGTTTCTGTTTCTTAGTTTCTCCCTGATATCGACTGGTTTGGATGTATTTTTGGTTGTAGGTGATCCTTTAATGTTTGACAAAACTTTTAGATTCGTTTTGAGTAATTGTTGGATTTTTTTATTATTTTTAGATCCAGGTCCTTGTGCTAAGTTTGCATTTTTATATATATTTTTATATGAATCGTTATTTGCTCGGAAATAATTCCCGGTATCAGATCTAGAAATGTTGATAATACCCATTTTGCATTTTACCACTCATTGTGTTTACTTGTGTTTGCTGTACTCAATGAACAAATTCGATATCTTACAGTCAGGTCCTCAAAACCCCCCAAGACGGCAACATCCTCATCGATTTCTCAAAGAACCGCATCGACCAGGAATGTTTCCAACTACTCATCGACCTCGCGCGCAAGCGCAAAGTCGAAGATGCCCGAGACGCTATGTTCAAAGGCTCCAAGATCAATTTCACGGAAAACAGAGCCGTCTTGCATACGGCTCTTCGAACCAGAGACAACTCAATCATCGAAGTTGACGGCAAGAATGTCATGCCTGACGTCAAAGCCGTTTTGGATCACATGAAGCAGTTCAGCAATAAAGTTTTGAGCGGTGAATGGAAAGGGTGAGTTTTAAAGATATTCCAATTGTAGTTAGTTGAATAAATTATTCCTATATATAGTGGTGATTCTTCAATAATTTCTTCCATTATCCAGAAAAACTGTATATCAAACTAATAGGTATATAATTTTCAATAAACAGTGTACAACCTTTTTAAGTACAACCTTTTTAAGTACAACCTTTTTAAGTACAACCTTTTTAAGTACAACCTTTTTAAGTACAACCTTTTTAAGTAAAACCTTTTTAAGTAAAACCTTTTTAAGTAAAACCTTTTTAAGTAAAACCTTTTTAAGTAAAACCTTTTTAAGTAAAACCTTTTTAAGTAAAACCTTTTTAAGTAAAACCTTTTTAAGTACAACCTTTTTAAGTACAACCTTATTAAGTTAATAAGTTTGAAAAAACAATTCTTGGAGTGTTTATTTGGACATTTACAGGTACTCGGGTAAAAAAATAACCGACGTGGTTAACATAGGTATCGGCGGCTCCGATCTGGGTCCGTTGATGGTCACCGAAGCTTTGAAACCCTTCAGCAAAGGTTTAAACATGCATTTCGTTTCCAACATCGACGGCACGCATTTAGCCGAGGTTCTGAAGAAAGTCAATCCCGAAACCGTACTGTTCATTATCGCCTCAAAGACTTTTACCACTCAGGAGACTTGCACCAACGCCAAATCAGCCAAGGAGTGGTTTTTAGGCACGGCGAAAGCGGTAAGTGTCACTGCAAACGTAACGGCGAACATAAACTTATTTATTTATACTTAAACTTATTTATTTAAACTTAAACTTATTTATTAAAACTTAAACTTGTTTATTAAAACTTAAACTTTTTTATTAAAACTTAACTTAAATTTATTTATTATAACTTAAACTTGTTTATTTAAACTTAAACTTTTTTATTAAAACTTAACTTAAACTTATTTATTACAACTTAAACTTGTTTATTTTAGAATGAGGCAGTTGCGAAACACTTTGTAGCTCTAAGCACGAACAAAGAGAAAGTTTCTGAGTTTGGAATCGACACTGCCAATATGTTCGGGTTTTGGGACTGGGTGGGAGGCAGGTACTCGTTGTGGTCTGCTATTGGTTTGAGTATTTGTCTTTCCATCGGTTACGAGAATTTCGAAAAATTACTTGAAGGCGGTTTTTACATGGACAACCATTTCCGAACGGCTCCATTGGAGAAAAATGTAAGAACATTTTTGTTGTATACCGTAAAAATTCTGAAGTTAAGTCTATGGTAATATATCTAAGATTTAATGGGGTATATTTTACATGTTCTCCATTTTTTCATTTTCTTCTAATTTCTTTTCCTATTTTTTTGTTTTCTTTATTTATTTAAACAATTTATTTAGCTTGTTTTCACTACGATATTTATTTTTTTACAACCCAATTTATTTGTACAAAGTACAACACTAATTTATATCTCTTTTACTAATACATCAATTTATTTTGACAAATTTTATCTGAACAAAACGATATCTTGACTAAAACTATAAAATAGCGGCAAACTCGTCTATTTATATACAATTTGTGGCTTTTTCGAACATTCTACAAGTTTTTCGACCACTTGTAAATGTGTAAATTTAGCTACGTTTCAATTTTACAGGTTCCTGTAATACTCGCGGTGTTGGGCATTTGGTACAGCAACTTTCACGGTGCCGAAACGCAGGCTTTGCTGCCGTACGATCAGTATCTGCACAGGTTCGCAGCGTATTTCCAACAAGGCGATATGGAGAGCAACGGAAAATACATCACTAGAAGCGGCGAACCGGTAAATAATAAAAATAAATCATAACCCATTACGGGCTACATTTGTTTTAAATTTTTCTGACTTAGAAAAATAGATTATTGCGACTTAGAATTTGGAAAAAATCGATTTTTCTGACTTAAAACTCTAAAAAATGGTTTATTCTGACTTCGAACTCGAGAAAATCTATTTGTTCGATTTAGAACTCTGAAATATAGAATATTCCAACTTAGAACTCATAAAAATTCGACTTTTCCTAGCTTTGAGTCAGAATAATCTATTTTTCCGAGCTGTAAGTAAGAAAAGTCGGTTAAGTCGGTTTTATCTGAGTTTCTAAGTCTTAATAAACAATTTTTACAAGTTGTAATTAAAAAACTCGACTTTTCTGAGTTCCCAAATCAGAAAATTAGATATTTCCAAGTTCTAGGTCGGACATTTTTCTGAGTTAAAATTAACAAAATTCGATTTTTCTGTTCTAAATAGGAATAATCATTTTTTGAGTGGTAATATGAAAAAAAATCGATATTTTTGTGTTTCTAAGTCATAAAAATTGATTTTTCTGTGTTAAAAGTCAGAAATATCAATTTTTCCAAGATCCAATTCGGGATAATCCATTTTTCCGAGTTGTAAGTCGGAAAATACATTTTTCCTAGTTTAATTCGGAATAATTTTATTTTTCCGATTTCTAAATCGAAATAATCTATTTTTCTGAGTTCCTAAGTCAGAAAAATTAATTTTTACGAGTTCCAAGTTGAAATAATCTATTTTTCAGAGTTCTAAGTCAGAAAAATCGATTTTTCTTTGTTCTAAGTCGGAATAATCCATTTTTTGACTTGCAAGTCGAAAAAATAGATATTTCGGAGTTCTAAGTCGGAAGAATTTTATTCTTTTGAGTTTCTAAGTTAGAAAAATTTATTTTTTCAAGTTCCAAGTTAAAATAATCTGTTTTTTAGAGATATGTCAGAAAAATCGATTTTTCTATGTTCCAAGTTCAAAATAATCCATTTTACGAGTTGTAAGTCGAAAAAATTGATTTTCCAAGTTCTAATTCGGGATAATCCATTTCTATTTTCCGAATTTTAATTTGGGATAATACATTTTTCGAGTCTAAATAATCAATTTTTCTGAGTTCCTAAGTCGGAAAAATCGATTTTTCTAAGTTCTTATTCGGGATAATCTATTTTTCTTAGTATGTCGAAAAATCTATATTTCTGAGTTATGAGTCGGAATATATGATTAATTTTTTTGAGTCCCATGGCGAAATAATCTGTTTTTCAGAGTTCTAAGTCAGAAAAATCCGATTTTTCTATCTTCTAAGTCGGAATAATCCATTTTTTCGATTAGAAAGTCGAAATAATCCATTTTTTCTAAGTATTAAGTCGAAAAACAATCGATATTTCTGAGTTCTAAGTGGGAATAATTTAATTTTTTTGAGTTCCTAAGTCAAAAACATTGATTTTTTCAAGTTTGAAGTCGAAATAATCTCTTTCAAAGTTATAAGTTAGAAAAATATTTTCTATTTTCTTAGTCGGAATAATCAATTTTTTTGACTGGTAAGTTGAAAAAATCCATATTTTTGAGATCCTAAGTTAGAAAAATCGATTTTTCTATGTTTTCTAAGTCGAAATAATCTATTTTTTTGGGTGGTAAATTGAAAAAAAATCGATATTTTTAAGTCTCTAATTCAGAAAAATAAATTTTTTTCATGTTCAAATTCGTAATAATCCATTTTCCGAGTTGTAAGTCGGAAAAATCGATTTTTCTAAGTTCAAATTCAGGATAATCCATTTTTCTAAGTAGTAAACGTCGAAAAAATCGATTTTTCCAAGTTTCAAGTCGGAATAATTAATTTTTTTGAGTCCTAAGTCGAAATAAATCGATTTTTCTATGTTCAAAATTCGGAATAATAATATTCTAAATTGAACTAATCCATATTTCTGAGTTTTTAGTCGGAATAATCTATTTTTCAGATTTATGTCAGAAAAAAATATTTTTCCTAGTTCCAACTGGGAATAATCAATTTTTCCGAGTTGTAAGTCGGAAAAATCCATTTTTCTAAATGTCAAAGTCAGAAAAATCGATTTTTCCAAAATCTAATTCGGGATAATCCATTTTCCGAGTTGTAATTCAAAATAATAAATTTTTCTGAGTTCCTAAGTCATAAAAATCGAGTTTTCTATGTTTTAAGTCGGAGAAATCCATTTTTTGTGTGTTAAGTTGAAAAATCGATATTATTTAGTTTTTAAGTCAGAAAAATCGATGTTTCTGTGTTCAAATTCGGGATAATCCATTTTCTGAGTAGCAAGTCGAAAAAAATCCATTTTTTCAAGTTTGAAGTCGGATTAATCATTTTTCTGAATAGTAAGTCGAAAAAATTATATTTCTGAGTTCTACGTTGGAATAATTAACTTTTTTAAGTCGCAAGTTGAAATAATCTGTTTTTCAGAGTTCTAAATCAGAAAAATTCTATTTTTCTATGTTCTAAGAAGGAATAATTCATATTTTTGAGTGGTGAGTTAAAAAAAATCGATATTTTTGAGTTTTTTAGTCACAAAAAAATCGATTTTTTTTATGTTCACAATTCGGAATAATATTCTTAGTCGAAATTATCTATTTTTTCAGATTTATATGTCAGAAAAAAAAAAACGATTTTTCCTAGTTCCAAGTGGGGAATAATCTATTTTTCCGACTAATTATTCCAAGATCTAATTCGGAATAATTCATTTTTCCGAGTTTTAAATCAAAATAATCAATTTTTACAAGTTTTCAATCAAAATAATCAATTTTTACGAGTTTTCAATCAAAATAATCAATTTTTCCGAGTTCTTAAGTAATAAAAATCGAGTTTTCTATGTTCTAAGTCGGAATAATCCATTTTTCTTAGTTTCAAGTCAAAATAATCGATTTTTCTTTGTTCAAATTCGGGATAATCCATTTGTAAGTTGTAAGTTGTAAGTCGGAATAATTCATTTTTCCGAGTTGTAAGTCGGAAAAATCGATTTTTCCAAATTCTAAGTCGAAATAATTTTATTTTTTCGAGTTCTAAGTCGATATAATTCATTTTTCCGAGTTGTTAGTCGGAAACATCGATTTTTTTCAAGTTTTAAGTCAGAATAATCCATCTTTTAGACTTCCAAGTCGGAAAAATGGTTTTTTTTTCGGGTTCTAAATCGGTAAAATTAAAAAAATATATATTGTGGTTCTTCTACGATATAACTAGCGATATCTCGACTATAATTTCTCCAGGTCGACTTCAACACCGGGCCAATAGTATGGGGCGAGCCGGGCACCAACGGCCAGCACGCCTTCTACCAGCTCATCCACCAAGGCACGCGAATCATCCCGTGCGATTTCATCGCGCCCGCCGAAAGCCACAACCCCATCAGCAGCGGCGTCCACCACAAGCTTTTGCTGGCCAACTTCCTCGCCCAGACCGAAGCGTTGATGAAGGGAAAATCGGCGGGACAGGCCAGAGAGGAGTTGCAAAAGTCCGGAATGAGTAACGAGGACGTGGAGAAGATCTTGCCGCACAAGGTGTTCGTCGGGAACAGGCCGACTAATAGTATCGTGGTGAAGAAGGTGACGCCGTTTACGTTGGGAGCTTTGATTGGTGAGAAATTACATTTTTATTAATTTTTTTTCAAACGGTTTACCTTTCAATTTAATAACCTTTAGATTAATTGCCCTTAAGTAAAATGCTTAATAAAATTTGTAGGGACCTGTTCTTACCTTGGAGAAGTTTCAAATCGATTAATATCTATTCCAAAAATATTTAAAAAATTAATAAATTTATCCAAAATCAAGCTACAAAATCTACAAAGTCGAAAAAATCAATTTTCAGAGTTCTGACTCTGAATAATCTATTTTTCCGAGTTGTAAGTAAAAAGTTGAATTTTCTGAATTCCTAAGTCAGAAAAATCGATTTTTCCAAGTTATAAATCGGAATAATCCATTTTTCAGAGTAGTTATTCGAAAAAAAAAAAAAAATCGATATTTCCAATTTCTGAGTCTGAATAATATTTTTTCCGAGTTGTAATTAAAAAAATGATTTTTCTAAATTACCAAGTCAGAAAAATCAATTTTTTCCAAGTTCCTAAGTCGGAAAAACCCATTTTTCTGAATAGTTAGTCGAAAAAAATTGGTATTTCTGAGTTCTTAAGTTAGAAAAATCGATTTTTCTGTGTTCAAATTCGAAATAATCTGTTTTTCCGAGTTGAAAGTCGAATAAATAGATTTTTCCAATTTCTAAGCCGGAATAACATATTTTTCTGAGTTCCTAAGTCAAAAAAATCGATTCTTATAAGTTTTAAGTAGGAATAATCCAGTTTTACGAGTTGTAAATTGGAAAACATCGATATTTCTGAATTCCTAAGTCAGAAAAATCGATTTTTTCAAGTTCTCAGTCGAAATAAGCAATTTTCTGAGTAGTAAGTCGAAAAAAATCATTTTCCGAGTTCTGATTCTGAATAATCTATTTTTTCGAGTTGTAAGTCAAAATAAATCGATTTTTCTGAGTTTCCAAGTCAGACAAATCAATTTTTCCTTGTGTTAAGTCGGAGTAATCACTTACTTGATATTTTGTAAATATTCTTATAACGTGTTGAAGTTTCTGTCATTAGTTTGACGTTTCTAACAGTTCAATATGGCGCTCGAAGTTTTTGTATTGGCTATTTATTAAATGTTTGATTGAGACCAATTTTTATTTGGATGTCACCACTTTTTGAGATAACCTTTAAAATTTTGATAATTTCCTTTATTTTTTAAAGTTAATTTTACTATTTATTGTGTTTCTAATATATATTTGACTTTTGTTTAAAGTTTTGATTATTATTTTCACGTTTATTTGACATATTTTTTTTTTCATTTGACATTTCTGATATTTCACTTGTTTAAAGTTTCTGTCATTAGTTTGACAATTCTTACAATTCAAGTGTCATATTTAGGTATAGTACTGACATTTCATTTGCCTTCTTGTTGACATTTTTGATGTCTTTAGTTTTCAACAGATGACGTCATCGTTAGTTTGCTTAAATGACACCAGTATTTTTTTTATAGTACCATTTAAAAGAGTACTTTTTTGCGTATGACGATTAGTTGACGTTTTCAGCATCATTTTGACATTTACTTGTCACATTTTAAGTTTCTTTTATATTAGTTGACATTACATTGGACTTCTTGATGACTTTTTTGACTTCTGACATTTAATTTGATTTCTTTTTGACATTTTTGATGCCTTAAATTTTCAACACATGACATCATCGTCAGTTCTCTTATTTGGCATCGGCATTTCTATAGTACCATGTAAAAGGATGTGTTGTTTGCGTATGACCATTAATTGATGCTTTTCAGTATCATTTTGACATTTACTATCCACATTTTGAATGTATTATTATTTCAATCGCTTACTTGACATTTTGGACATATTTATTCTTGTAGCATTAGTTTGACGTTTCTTACAATTTAAGTGTCATATTTAGTCAACGTATTGACATTTCAATTCTTGTTGCCTTTTTAAACGACTGACATTTCATTTGACTTCTTGTTAACATTTTTGACGTCTTAATTTTTCAACACATGACGCCATCGTCAGTTTTGCTTAGAAAAAGTACTTTTTACGTATGACGAATAATTGGTGTTTTTCAGAATTATTTTGACATATTTTAAGTTCCTCTCTATTGTTTCAATCGCTTCCTTGATATATTCTTGTAGTGAGTTGAAATTTCTGTCAATAGTTTGACGTTTCAAATAGTTCAATATGACGCTTGAAGTATCTGTATTGGCTTTTCATAAAATTTTTAGTTTAAACAATTTTCATTCTTTAAATTGTTTCTACGTTTTATTATTTAATATTTCTGACTTATTACTGTTCATTCATTTTACCTGTGTTGACATATTTCTCTTTCAATAATTTAGTTGTTCATTTGACGCGTGTTTTCAAGTTTCTATCATTATTTTCATGTGACATTTCGCCTGTTTAAAGTTACTGTCATTATTTTCATTTGACATTTCACATGTTTAAATTTTCTGTCATTTTAATTTCGCATGTTTAAAGTTACTGTCATTTTTTCATTTGACATTTCGCATGTCTAATATTTATATCATTATTTGCATTTGAAATTTATGATATTTCGCATTTTTATAGTTTCTGTCATTATTTTTACTTGACATTTGTGACATTTCGCACGTTTAAAGTTTCTGTCATTATTTTCATTTGACATTCGTGACATTTCGCATGTTTAAAGTCCCTGTCATTATTTTAACCTTCCTTTCAATTTAAATGTCACATTTATTCATCGTATTGACATTTCATTTGACTTTTTTTATCGTTTTTGTTTCAGCGATGTACGAAATGAAAATCTTCACTCAGGGAATCATTTGGGACATCAACTCGTTCGATCAATGGGGCGTAGAGTTGGGCAAAGCTCTGGCCAAAGCCATTGAGCCGGAATTAGAAGGCGATAGCCCAGTTTATTCTCATGACGGTTCCACCAACGGTCTTATTAACTTCATTAAGGCCAGCAGGGGTTGAAAGGCTTTCTTTTAGTGGATGTTGACGTGATATTTGATATTATTTCTTAGAGAATATATTATACACGGATCTATATGTATATGTTGACGTTGTTTTTAATAAAAAGTATATGGAAAATGTTTCGTTTTAAGTGAGTTTTCTTCTCCTTTCTCCTATTTTTTTTCAGCGGGAAATAATATTTAAATGACAACTGACAGGTTTGACAATTTACTTGTGAAAATTTGACATTTGATCGATTGTTTGACATCTTATCTTTACTCTTTACTCCTTCTTGCGTTATTTACAATAACAGTCAAACACTAATGAAAAAGTTAGGTCAATAAACTGTGTTGTATTGTCTACGTTTACATTTGAACCTTAATTATGATATATAAGTGAACTGTCATGTCACACGTATTTCAAGATTTTGACAGCTGCTTGTCATAATTTTTTTTAAAATGAAGTTTCTGTAATTACTGCTATTTGACATTTGTGACAGTTCGCATATTTAAAGTTTCTGTCACTATTTTCATTTGACATTTCGCATTTTTAATGTTTCTGTCATTATTTTCATTTGACATTTGTGACATTTAACATGTTTAAAGTTTCTGTCACTATTTTCATTTGACATTTCGCATTTTTAATGTTTCTGTCATTATTTTCATTTGACATTTGTGACATTTAACATGTTTAAAGTTTCTGTCATTATTTTCGTTTGACATTTAGTATTATTTTGACATTTCTTTAAATGTAATGTCATATCAACATCGTTTTGAAATTTATTCCGATTTCTGTCAATGCTTTGAGCATTTTTTCTTTCCAGCCATGTATGAAATGAAGATTTTCACGCAAGGCATCATTTGGGACATAAATTCGTTCGATCAGTGGGGCGTGGAGCTGGGAAAAGCCTTGGCGAAAGCCATAGAGCCCGAATTACAGGGCGATTCGAAAATTACCTCGCACGACGGATCCACTAACGGAATTATTAATTTTATTAAGGAAAACAGGGACTGTATATGTTATCCGTGTAGTTCAGTATGTAAAAGATGTAAATAAATAGTTTTTAATAAAAAATACGACTTTTTATTTATACACTTCATGTCAATTTTATACACAAATTTAAGTGATGATGGCGCCACTTTTAAACTTTCAGCTGTTATTTTCGCATAAAAATAGTATCTAGTACTTTGTCTGTAAATGTTACTGGATCAAAGTGCTTCGCGCCTGGAGGAACAGGATCTAAAACTATTCCGAGAAAATGAAAATAAAGATTCTATTAGTTTTATATGGGCGTAATCCTTGAGAGTTGTTTACTAAGTTATATGAAAATACTGTCGTGCGAGCCATTTTAGAGCAGGCCGATCCTGCTCTAATCCCTCTCTGCCTTATATGGACCTTTTACGGCCTTTGATTTTCCGATTAACAATGGGGTATCTGTTTATGAATCAAATATAGAGGCAATTAAAAATCTTGAAAGTCCAATAAATAAACATGAGGTAATGAGGATTTTAGGACTATTAAAATATTTTAATAAATACATACCAGATTTTTCAAAACTTACCTATAACATTAGACAGTTAAAAACAATGTTAAGTTTAATTGGAATGTTGATTGCGAAAATGACTTCAAATTATTAAAAAACATTATTTCAAGTGCCCCTACCTTAGCAATATTTGACCCAAATAAGAAAATCATCATACAGACTGATGCATCTAGTGAGGGTCTTGGTTGTTGTTTGTTGCAGGAAGGAGCTCCAGTTGTATTTGCCTCTAGAGCTCTGACTAGTTCTGAACAACGATATGGTCAGATAGAAAAGGAACTCTTAGCTGTCCTTTTTTCATGTGAAAAATTTAATAATTTTATTTATTGTTATAATGTAAATGTACAGAGTGATCACCGTCAATTAATTCCAATATTTAATAAAAATTTAGATAAAGTTTCTAATAGGCTGCAGAGAATGTTGTTAAGACTTTTGAAATATAATATTAATATAACATATGTTCCTGGTAAAGAAATGTATGTGGCTGATACTCTTTCTAGGGCCTTTTTAAAAAATAAAGTGTATGACGATCCAGAAATGTCCTATATTATTCATTCACTTTACAATAATGTAGAAATGGTAATATATATATACAATATAATACAATTTGAGAAATCAGTTTGGCCAGATTATAAAAAATTGGACAAAAATTTAAAACACTTTTTCAGGATCAAAGATAATCTTTTTGTTTCTAATGGTTTGCTATTTTATAATGAAAAAATTATAGTTCCAACAAGCTTAAGATTAGAAATGTTAAAAATTATTCATGAGGGACATCTAGGTATAACGAAATCGAAATCAAGAGCGAGACAGATTTTCTACTGGGAAAATATGTCCATGGATATTGAAAATTATATTTTCAGATGCCAACCTTTTCAAATGAACAGAAAATCAAATTGCAGAGAACCTTTATTTAGTCGTGAAATACCTGATAGATGTTGGCAAAATGTCAGCAGTGACATTCTTGAGTTCAAACAAAAGTACTATATACTTCTGGTAGATTCTTACTCTAATTGGATTGAAGTTAAAAAAATACCAAATAAATTATTTTTTCAAGAAACCTTCTCACGATTTGGTATACCTAACAAAGTTATAGCTGATAATGTACCTTATAACAGTAAGTTTCTCTTGAAATATGCTCAAGATTTTGATTTTGTTTTGGAATTCCCGAGTCCTTATAATAGTCAATCGAATGGACTTGCTGAGAAAGCTGTGGGTATAATAAAATCAATGTTAAAAAAATCTGAAAATAATTTAGAATTTCTGGGGGCATTAATGGAGTATAGAAATACAATTTTACCAAATTTAGGGCATTCACCAGCTCAATTATTATTAAATAAAGAAATAAAAACCAAACTACCAGTAATAAAAGATAATCTTGAACCCATATCCATTGACAAAAACAAAATAAAAGAATTGTTTGAGCGAAAGCAGGAATCCCAAAAGAGCTATTATAATAAAGGGACTAGAGAATTGTCCAAATTAAACATGAATGATAAAATATTAGTACAAGAAGGGGAAGGGTGGAAAAAAGGAATAGTGAAAGAAATACTGAGTGACAGATCCTATCTTGTAGAAATTGAGGGGAAACTGTTTAGGAGAAATCGTAGATTTCTGAATAAAACAGACATTGATTTTAAACCATCTAATGAAAAAAGATTAATGTACGATGATGACTTCTGTTTTAAAGAACCACCTGTAAATGTTACTGGTGAGTTGAATAATCCTAATGAATTAAATAACACGGAGGAGCCTCAGAATGACCTTGAGGAACAATTCAGAAATACCCCAGTAACTGTGTCACGTTCACATGGAAACCATCGAGATAGAATAAAGGGGAGACGCTATGACGTTACTAAAAGTGTCCGCACTTTTCAATAAGCATTACATTTTTACGTCATGTGTCAAACTAACGTGACTTAGTCAGTTTGATTACTGTTTTGGTGAGAATAAACGCCATTTTATTTAAATAGCTACATTTAAATCGTATAAAAGGTTGTTTATTTTAATTTTAAATAATGGTATCATGTGCTATAAGAAGCTGTTGCAGCAGTGACAGCGTTAATAAGAAAAAAACAGGAATTACATTTCATAAGTTAGTCTAAAGCATATTCTAAACAATTATAAGGACGTATTTTTAATTTTTGTTTCAATGTTTGTATGTTAATTAATCATCATTTACTTTTCTAACAATATAAGTATATCAATCTTGCTAGTTTAGATTCTGATAAAAATGTAATGATAATTTCACATCAGTAGTGATGGCCCATATAAATCATTGGGGCTATAAAGATCATATTTTATGCTGTTCCTATAGGTCCAGTTAAGGAATAAGTTTTAAATTTTCACAACGCTAAATATACAAATACTTGAATTATAGATTAACGCGGGATTCATGGATTGGATTTGTAAATAGAGGTGACTGGAAACCTTCAAAATATAGTGTACTATGCTCTAGACATTTTGAAGAAAACTGTTTCGATAGAAATTCTGTACATTTTGTTCGTCTAAAAGATTATGCGATTCCGTCTTTGCTGAATCCAAGTTTGAATCAGGTAAAAGTTTAGTTCTCTTTATCAGATGAAACGATTAAAAGGAACCAAAAGAGCTTAACTCATATGTGCACCCAGTTTAGATCAGCAAAGAAAACTAATATTTCGTGCAATTTTTTTATTGAAATAGCAAAGCCCTTTTGGCATTCAGCCATCTTAATGAATGTTAATGCAACTATTGAATTTGTAAAATTAATTAATAATTTATTTGATGTTCTGAATTCGAGAAATCTCCTTTAATTTGGTTACAAAAAACCTCTATCTACAAAAATTTTTGACAATCTTTCAACATTTTTGGATGTGGCCGATAAATATATTGACAGCTTAAAAACACATTGCAATGGGCAATTATTATTAGACAGTGGGAGGCATACGGGATTTTTAGGATTAAAAGTCTGTATCCACAGTACTAATGTTTATTTAATTCTTTAGTTGTGCAAAACAATGTATTATCTTTCTTACCAATATATAAAATCTCCCGGGATAACTTGGAATTATTTTTTTGTTCGATCCGTTTACATGGGGGTTACAATAACCCTACAGTAAGACAATTTGTGTCAGCCTCATAAAAAGCTACTTGTCTATGTAGAGTTGTGTGAAAGTTTTCGTGGGAACTGTATACCCTTAGAAGAGATTAGTATTTTAAAGTGCGATGTAGTGAGACAACTTAATATAACATCAACTGGATATTCATTTTACAACCAAGCAGAAGATTATGAAAATGATCCCTTGGAAATTATTAAAGCCATCGAATTAGATCACGGTTATATACTAGATCCCTGTATTACTCCATTTTCGAAATATATATAATTACATACATCGCGGGTTACGTTGTTCTTTCTATAAATAAAAAAATATATTGTGGACAATGTTCTCAAGCACTAATAAGTGATACAAAAAATATTAATATATATTCATTCATAGATATGAAAAATAAAAACAAATTGCATTATCCATCAGAAGATGTAATCGCTATCTGTATGACATGTGAAAAGCTTTTAAAAATCAGATTAGTTTCTGAAAAACAGATTTCACTCGATATCTTGATTTAGTTAGTATTAAGAGAATATATTTCTTCAAACACATTTTCAAGTCTTATACAACATGGATTCGACAAGTTTTTGATAATCACAGAACATTATTAATGAAATGTGTTGCGAGCAGGTACCTAAATGTAAGAATGTGCTATTTATCAAAAAATAAAGCAAATAAGAAAATTAGCCTAAGACACCATAGTAATAAGATGATTTTATTTAAAGGACAATAAAACATTTAAAAAAAATGACTTTTAAGTTACCTAGATAAAATCATTTATTCCAATTAAAAAATATGTGTTAGAGTTAAAAGCAATTTTTTTGAACATTTAATATATTTTCTTAACATTAGTTAAATATTTTCATTCCGACAATCTTTAAACATAAAATTACTGACTTCAAATCAAAGTACTACTCTGTCTACGTCGCCATTTTAATTACATTTTTCTGTCAGTCTTAGCATCGCTAAGTGCGTCCATATGTCTTATCGCAAAATAGTGTTTATGTCGTCTCTACTTTATTCTATCTCGATGCATGGAAACCGAAGGCCTCCCCCATACCTAAATGACTATGATTTAGATATAAATGTTAAAAAAAATAAGTAAGTTATTTTTAATGAATGTTAATTTGATCTGAGTTACTTTATGTTATTATGTTTTCGCTGGTTTAAGTGTTTAAGCTTGTATTTCGTTTGTATTGTATTTGTTAAAAAAGGGGGCATGTCATATATGTGCTAAAGCGTTGGTCTCTTGTGCTCGTGGCTCATTCAGGTGAAGACCATCAATAGAGGAGCGCGGCATTCGGTAAAGCATGAGCGATGACAAAGGTCACCTTATTTTCGAATCCTGTATAACAATTATTAAAATTACCAAATAAAATGTTTTAAAGTATATTACATGAGTAATCTTTTACACTCATAAAATGCGAGTTATTTATAAACAAATGAGG